ATTCATCCGTCCAGACCATTTGCTTCATTCGAACACGGTAAAACTGTGGCGAAAGCTCTGCGTGGCGTAAGTTTCCATATAGCCTCTCTGTGTTCGTTCCGTTCGTTTCCCAATTTATCGATTCAGCTAAGAATAGACGCTAAAGACGGTACCTTAACGGGTAACATTGAGTTTGATCGTTTCGGCCATCGCAAGAATTATGACGTTGCTGTGATCGACTTGGTTTCAAATACTAAGGCGACATTCAACAGCAAGGAGGTAATTACACACAACGAAAAATCGGCACTAAAATATTATTTGCAAGGTGCTCGCCTGGAGGCAAGGAGCTGGATTCTTCAATGACAGGACCGTTGCGCAACATACGCGAAAAACTGTAGAGAATCGCAATAAGAACGTTGTGAGAGTTGTCACAGTTTGGGTGAGTAATGTTTCTCGAAAATCAGTTAAATGAGATATTTTGGTAGCTACAGTACGTAAAAACATTCGTAGAAAATCTTGCTGAAGTGCAGTAAAGCACAAATGCATTTGGGTCTCCGTTGTCTTCGCATGATCACGATACAATACCTTTTAAGACGATAGATGTGTAAATGGTATTAAACCAAAAGGTCCTGCCAATTTTTTCCAAGTCCTTCCATTTTCGAAGCTAGCAGCTAGCTATAGGATCTATTGCACCATCCAACAATTTGTGTCGATAGTCTACAACAACAGGTGCGAGCACTTCATTCTAATTTTGACCATGGAGCCTCAAAGACAATCGTCAAACAGCATCCATGGGTTCTGAAGGACTTTCGCTAGTTATCGCAGCCTCAACCACTGTGGCAATTTCCTCACATATGGGATTGAGCTATTTTAATGCTACTGGTTTCAAGTAGTAGGAATGATCTAAATCTTAGGTGCTTTTAAAACACATCAGCGACATGGGAGAAATTACGCAGAAAAATTCAAAAATTTAAGTTTGAAAAAAACACGAATCTATGCGGTCGTATCGTGGTGTCAAGTTTAACTCTGTGCGAATACCATTAATGCTTTATTTGCGCGAAAAATTTCTTTGAAAAAGTGTCCATCTCAAAAACGGAGTTCTGAATTCTTTAAATCGTTGCTTTTGAAGTAGTTGAAAAATAACATCTGTGTACTCTATCGATAGCACAAAATACTGATACGTCAAGCTGAAATGTTGTTGGTGGAAGCTGCCATCCAAAACAGTATGAACGGAAAAAA